CAATCAACACTGTCAAAATATGACAAATCATTAATTAAGAACTTGTCGGTGATTTCATTAATTAAAAATTATTATTTTTCATACGTACACGAGCATGCTTTCATGCATCAAAGGCGCCGTGACTCAATAGTTTAATTGTATTTGGTTCTCCATTAATATTTAAATCAATAAAATATCACTCATTCAAATTATTTCACTAAAAGATATGCATCCTTGAAGAAACATGTCTGAAAATTATGGGATGAACCTAACTCAAAATCACATAGAAAAAAAGTTGAAATAAAACGAAGACAAATATTTGAAGTTGCAATTCTAATTTATTTAAAATGAAATAGCATCTTTCTGTTGATTAAATGTGTCGAGGCATCAAAAAGTTATCCGCCAAGACTAAAAGGAAAAAATGCTCGTGCATGAGAGGTTTCAAGTCCGCATTTAGGTAGAACTGCAACTACTTATTTTGCTAGAATTGCAAAGAAATACAAATCTAAATTCTATTATTCGTGACTAGCTTCAACTGTAGAAATCTAGCACAATTTGAAATGTATTCCAGAAAGAAATTAACTTCACTCAATGCACCGGAAATACAAAATTTGCTCAATAAATATTTTTAAAGAAAGTGAAATTAGTTTGCAACATATGGATCCATCCTGGGAGGAAAAGGTAAACAACATTAATCATTGGTGGCTATCAATCATGACAACATTGAATGATGTTTTTTTTAGGTGAAAATACCAAATTAAAGTAAGGACAAATGGTTAGACTCCACATTTTCTAGGAATCCACTTATGAAATGCCTTGAAACAAATTATGCACATGTTTGGTTCAACTAATATTTTAAATTAAAATTTAAGTTAAAGTAAACAATTAATTTTATCTCAAATTTTATAAGATCTACAACTTTTCAATCACACATTACATCATTTTTTTAATATTAAAATCTACTGAAAATATAATTTTTTTTTTTTTTATCTAAACCAAACGGGGCTAGCAAACATATTGATAAAACGTGTTTGATACTAAGCCTAGTTTTATTTAGATAAAAATTATTTTTTTAGTAAATTTTTATAAAAGAGGGTGAAATGTGGGGTTAGAGAGTTGATAAAAGTTTTGAATTCCATAAAATGTATGGTTGAAAATGAGTTTAAAATAGATAAATAGGCATTGATCATGCCATCACTCTGGTTGAAGATTACAATAATGAGTTATAAAGAAATGGGGACGCCCTTGTTTGGTATTGATTAAAATTAGAAAACTTCTACAGTAAAAAACAACAATTAATTTTAANCAGTAATTTTTTTGGTTCTTGTCACGGGGTAAATAGTGTGGGCCCACATCAATCCTGTGGTAGGCTCTAATACCATGTAGAAATTTATGGGCCTAACTCATCTCACAAAACTGGTTCAGTAAGAGAGGTTTGCCACATTGTTTATAAACTGGCCCAAAACATTATCCACGTGCGATGTGGGATTTATTTCCAACAACGTGGAACCCACCTCATGTGAGAGGTCGGTAAATCCTCTATGAACACTATTTATGTACACTTGAATTAATTCTAATTCTTTGTACACAACTGTAAACATATGAAATAAAAAGTTTGAATTATTCTTGAAATTCCAATTTTTTCATACTATCAGACCCACAAAGGTCTTTGTTTTAAATCTCGTCGTCATCCATTTAATGAATTGTCCACATGATAGATTTTGATAATGGATAATTAGTCGTCTCCGAGGTTTGGAAAGTTTCGTTAGCAGATTTTATTCCAAACATTTGATTTGTTGCAACAGTTACCCATAACCTTTTCAAATATTGTAGGTGAGGCCTCAATGGATGGAAAACATCCAATTTACCGTTGGTTGACTAAAAAATTTAGTTTGACATCATTTTTAATAGTTTAATAAAGGGCAAAATAGTAACTTTCTATTTAATAAATTAAATTATTATATTAATTAAATTAAAAAATTGAAAAAAGGGAAAACACTGTATCTTCTTCTTCTTCTTCCTCCCATCCCTTCCCCAACCTAATCAGCCCCAGCCCCACCCTCACCCTAACCAAAACCGCCACCATCGCTGTTGCCACCGCCACCTCCCCCAATCCTCTCTGTGGAACTTTTTTTTGCTTTACCCTTTTCAATCTTCCACAACCACCACTGCAAACCATCCACCATATCCTCTACCATATTCTTGAAGATAATCCCAGAAATTCAGGTTCCAAAACAGAGTGTTGAAGAACAAATTCCAATCTTTTTCACCCCCTTTTGGCCTAAACTGATCCATCTATGGGGGCGAATTTGGGGGATTGCTATCAATGACATAAGAATAAATGGTGCAAGTGAAACCATTCCCAAAACAATTGCAGCATAACCAACTATATTGAGCCCTGTATAATTAAGAAACGAAAGGAGCAAAGTTGAAACCAAGATTGCAAATAAAGGGCAACCACTGGTGAATTCATGGAGCTCAGAACTCGGATAACAAATCATGAACTAAGTTTCATTTGTCCAGACATAATTGAAAAAAGTTCATCACAGCATAACAAAAATTTACAATTTAGTTGAAAATCAAAGAAAACCAAAAATTGTTTATAATTTGAGAACCTCAGATACATTCCAAAAGAGGAATTTTGCAGACATTCAACACGGCATCAGATTCAGTCCGCCCATGTGCTTTTTAACATCAATGAGGAGAAAGCTTGGTCGGCCCATATAACAAAGCCCCCGTTCTCGGGGAAGGCGGTGGAGAGCTCGACGGTGATTAGAGCCTCCGGTATACTCCAAATGAAAGGGAATATGAGGAAACTAAGAATTGCAAATAAAGGGCCTGCAGCTTGAATTGCAGGCTTTTCACCGTATTGTAACGGACCTCCCGTTCGGCTCTTGAGGTTCCAGGGACCCCCAAGGCAGCCTACCCTACACATGCGACCGGCAAGCTTAGATATGCAACATAAGCACAACATAGGGATAGAAAGCATGCCATCCAAACCTGTTAAAGGGACATCGTCAGTGCACTTCCGANAAAGGGCAACCACTGGTGAATTCATGGAGCTCAGAACTCGGATAACAAATCATGAACTAAGTTTCATTTGTCCAGACATAATTGAAAAAAGTTCATCACAGCATAACAAAAATTTACAATTTAGTTGAAAATCAAAGAAAACCAAAAATTGTTTATAATTTGAGAACCTCAGATACATTCCAAAAGAGGAATTTTGCAGACATTCAACACGGCATCAGATTCAGTCCGCCCATGTGCTTTTTAACATCAATGAGGAGAAAGCTTGGTCGGCCCATATAACAAAGCCCCCGTTCTCGGGGAAGGCGGTGGAGAGCTCGACGGTGATTAGAGCCTCCGGTATACTCCAAATGAAAGGGAATATGAGGAAACTAAGAATTGCAAATAAAGGGCCTGCAGCTTGAATTGCAGGCTTTTCACCGTATTGTAACGGACCTCCCGTTCGGCTCTTGAGGTTCCAGGGACCCCCAAGGCAGCCTACCCCACACATGCGACCGGCAAGCTTAGATATGCAACATAAGCACAACATAGGGATAGAAAGCATGCCATCCAAACCTGTTAAAGAGACATCGTCAGTGCACTTTCGAGAAATATAGCAATAAACCCGCAATAACCTATCTTGTCATGCCACATGGGTAGGGGAGTTCTCTAGGTCCGTGACATACTCCCCCACTTAATCCGCTAACGTCCTCATAGCGGACATGTGCTTCGCGTCTTCATGCATTGCATCCTCCCTTCAAGTTAGTGGGTTCAAAATTTTCTCCACAGCAGCGACATCATCCCCCTAGATGTACGGGCGTCCACAGTGCCCCTGCACCTCTTCCCGCAGTACCCCTCGTACACGTCGCCTTCGACACCACCTTCACCCTATGCCCCTGGCATTAGTTCCTCAATGGACGGCTCCTCTGGCCGTTGCATCACATGCATGTCGAAGTACAGTCACAAAGGCCTCCACTATAATCAGTTTTCACCGCAATGCCTCTATCAAAGCTCGTGCAAAGCAACATTCATGCAGTAGGCAAAATCGCTCACTGGATGTCCCCTAACATCCATCATCTTCGAAGCTTTCCCCTGTTACAATATGGTCCCCCGGAACTTCGATATAGATGACGAAGATTGAAAGGATGAGAAGAAGTTTTTTGGGGCTGACAGTGGTGGGCTCGGTAGTTGTGGGGAGTTCCTCGGCGGAAGATTAGACGGTAAAAAGTTTTAGTACTCGCTAAACTTTGCATACTGTTATGTTATAGTCACTGAACTACGTTATTACCCTGGATGGTGAACTTACTAGAAATTGCCTCCATCCATCACTATTCACACATCCGTTTCAATGGCTTCCCAGGTGGCAAGACGGACGCCGATGTGGCTCTGAACGGCGTTACAATGTGGCCGCGTGAAGAGTAGTTTGATTGAAAAACATGATTTCACCAGAGATATATGAAAAAAAACATCAGATGATTTCCAAATTCACTCCGACGGGTCCGACCCGAACCTCACCCACGAACCCTAGAAATCAATTTGGGCAAATTGCTTCTCTTCAAGTTTCCAAAATTACCACATCAGAATCAATCCATAATCTCCTATCCCTCCATCATCCCAGATCGTCCCATCAACTAAACCCTACAACTTCGACGCACTAGGTCCGTTGTAGTTTTGATCCATTATCAATGATATAGTGGCATGTCATTATTTTAACTTTGACAGTGCATTTGTTCTGTTAATGACAGGTTTGATGTGGTTGTGTTGTATTCCAGGTTAATTCCATGTCAATTGGAGAAAAATGTTGGTTTAGACGCTGATGTTTTTGTCTTATCATAGTATGTTTGAAAGTCAAATTCCTTTTATGTTTGGCCATTTGGAGCTGGAATTTGATGCACAGTTCTACAACGTGACAGCGTGCTAAGTTCGGTGATTAGTGAAACTTTTTACTCGGACCATCTTGTATACAATATACCACCATTCTCACAACAAATATCGCACAGGAACTCTCTCCCATGGAACGTATTGAGCCCTCCAATTTTGACCTTCTCATCATAGGCACAGGCCTACCGGAATCTATCCTCGCCGCTGCTTCCTCCGCCGCCAACAAAACTGTCCTCCAACTCGACCCCAACCCGTTGTACGGCTCTCACTATGCCTCTCTTCCCCTCCAAGATTTCATATCCTTTATGGAGTCGCAGCAGCTCCAATCTGAACCATCTTCCAATCCCCAATTACCTCAGACTGACGATGACTCCCAAAATTATGCTTGTGTGTCTGTCATTACTCGCCCCCTCTACTCGTCACTGGAAATCAACTCCTACTCCTCCGAGCCGCTCGATAATTCCAGAAAATTCTTTCTTGATTTGACGGGACCTCGGGTTCTGCTCTGCTCCGACCCTATGATTGATTTGATCCTCAAAACGGGCATAAATCAGTATATGGAATTCAAGAGCGTGGATGCTAGCTTCATGAGTAATGCGGAGGGAAAGTTGGGAACCGTGCCTGACTCACGGAGTGCGATATTTAAGGATCGGAGTTTGTCATTCACTGAGAAGAATCAGTTGATGAGGTTTTTCAAGCTAGTACAGGGGCATTTCCTGAGTGAGAGCGAAAGTGAAGGGAGTGATCTGATTTCAGAGGAGGATTTAGAGAGTCCTTTTGTGGAGTTTTTGACCAAATTGGGACTTTCACAGAAGCTAAAATCGTACAGATCGATTCTTGGTCTTTTCTCTCTCTGTTAATGAGAGTTCTTGGTTTCCTATCTCTTTTTAGTCCTAAAATATTTTAACTGAATTGCTCTGATAATTCAAGTTCTGACATACTTTTAGTCTGGACTTTCAGAATTTATAGATGTCTAGCATTATTATTCTGGTGTGATTGATTTGACAGTTCTCAGCCTTAATTTGACATGATAGTTCTCTCGGCAAGCTTTAGCTATACGGACGAATGTGGATCATTAGTTAACCCAAATGATGTGCACTGGATTAATTAATTATGCAGCGTTTGCTTATAGTTTCTTTTCCTGAAGTCTAATTAGTCATTTACATTTTGTAAGCTAGTTTTGAATATTTTAACTTGGACCATTAGTGTTTGATTGGAGAGTGATTTGGGGAACACGCAGTGCAGATAATGATTTAAATCCTAAGTATTTTGGGAGCAAATATTAGTTAATGGGTTTAATTGACCCTTAGGAAGGATGAGGCTCTAAGATATTTATCCCAATGAATGCCTTTTTGTTCTGTCTTGTCTCTCATTTCACTTTTATCTGAATTTGTGTAATGAGCTTCTTATTATTTAGTTTAATGTAATGTCTCACAACACTCAGCATGGTGATATCTAAACTGTTCATGTGCATGTTGGATAGTTTCTCTGGGTTAAATTTGTATGCGATTTACTTATATGACTTCTTCCACGCAGGATTATTTTGTATGCAATAGTGATGGCTAATTATGATCAAGACAATATGGAGGTCTGTAAGGATATTATCAAAACAAAAGATGGGATAAATTATTTAACACTTTACCACTCGTCCGTTGGCAGGTCAATTCCTTTCTGATCCTTATTTGAATATATTTCTTGCAATTGTAGAAGAAGTATTGATGTTGCTTGAACCGTAGATGTTATGAAATTTATAATATGTTAACCATTTGTTTTTATGGAAGGAGAAATTTATTAATAGGTTGAAAGAAAGAAACCTCATTAATTGGTAGAATAAACTTTATGCAAGCTTAACCTTGAGGGGTTGCTCAATTGGTCAGGCCTTGGGTTTGCTCCTCAATGGTCACCAGTTCGAGTCCCCTTAGGGCCACTGAGGTGAGTACTCGGTCGTAAACTTCAGGGCCCCGTGGAATTAGTCGAGGTGCGCGCAAGCTGGTCCGAACATCCACGGTTATAAAAAAAAAAACTTTATGGAAGCTTGAAAATGGTGTATTTTGTATAGAGGTAATAAATCATGGTATACAAAGGAATATATGCAACAAAAGAATTGACCTTTTGATTTTCTAGGTTATTCAGATTAATAGATATTTGGTTTAATAGTGCGGCTACTAATCACATAGAAGGGTTGCCTAATTTCATGTCGTTTCTTTTTTGTTTACATTGATGATACACTCCCCATGTATTATCTTTGATTAATAAAATTATCTGATTACTTATAAAAAAAAAAGATTAATGGATATTTGAATTTAACATTTTTAAGTGGAAGTTAATTCGGCCTCCGTTTTGGAAGAATTTATAAATGGATTAATTTATAAATAGATAAAAATGAGTGATGGATAAGTGAATATTACTTGTGGGTTCATTGGAATGTACAGTGAATATGAAGTTTGACAATCTATAAATGATTTATAAATTTTGCCAAATGGAGGCTAATATGTGAATTCTGTTAAAACTTCCTCAAAATTCAGAAGGTGAGAAGTTAGTTTACTTGTGAAGAAGTATATAGTAGTCAGACTGAACACAACACTTATATTTATCTGTTTTTCGTGTATATGTATCTAAGGTGGACGTTTATTTTAATCTCTATTTTGATATTAATACAACCTTATGTCTTTCTGCATCTTCTTTCCAGTTAAAGTACTGTTAGGTTTAGTTATGTACACGAAGTAGATCACCCTGCAACATATATTAATTGAAACTTCAGTTTTGATTTTATTTTGGTTAGATAATGTGATCTATAAGTCACCAATTTACAGGAAATCCTTATAGTGACTTTTTCAATATTAACTGCAAAAGTTTTTGAAATAAAATTCAAAGGGTAAATAGTGCAGAATGTTCAAAACTTTGTGAGGAATAATGATAGTCATTCTTTACAAAAGCTGTTTGAAGGTTGCCTGCCTTATGTTATGCTTTCACAAATGCCTCAAAATTACTTCTTAAGTGCCATTTGTTGATTCTTAGGTCTCGCTTTACTAAGGCTCAAGACTAAGTGATGGAGATCAAGACACAAATAAAGATATAGAGTTATAGATTGAATAGAAGTTTAAAATAGAGTTTAATTTTAATTAGATTTGATGAGATTGGTTTTGATATTTTGATACAATTACAGTTTATTAGAATCTTGTTTTCTTTTAGCTTCTTAGTTTATTTGCTCGATAAATAGAGAGGCTTAGTTATTGTAATTCACGACATAATTATATGATAAATTGATATTTTCTCTTGTCCTCATTTCTTCTCTTCTTGGACCCCCTTTCTTTTCTTAATCTTCGATTATTTTAAACAAATTATACGCTCCTGCATCACTAAGCCTCAGGTGAATGAGGTGTGAGCTCCTTTGTCTAGATTTTTTGAGCTTTTTATTATTGTCCACAGCTTTTGGCTACTTTATATATCCTAGAACGTTTTAAGGATTCTTCTGTTTTCTTTTTTCTAACTCGTTCGCATATTAGACTTCTAATTTTGTTGAATTTTTGGTTATGGATTTTCAATAGAATTTATGGTTTATATGAGCATACTTTTATATTTATATTCTTTATTGGTTTGTCTTGAGGCTTACACCTCCAAATGCCTTGAGGCTTATGCAATGCCTCACAAAAATGTGGAAGTGAAATGGAAGAAGAGATGTGGACAGAGATTGATGCGTGCTTCGGAATCAACAGAACACATGAGAAAATGCATGGAATTTCTGACGTGTGATGTATGGGGAGAATAGATGAACCCCATAACTTTACATTTATCAAAAAACGTATTTTCTGGGGAGCCATTAATTTCGGAATTATTTAATTTTAGAATTTCAACAACTGCTGACTGAGGCTAGATCGAATACAATTATGAATTTGAAAAATACAGTGTCGCCATCAGAATGTCTAAATGTTGACACAATTGGGTCAAGAGTTTGGAGGCTTCTGAGCATACTTACTGAGCTATAGACTATAGAATATAGAACAGATGTATCTAGTCAATTTGTCCTTTATACCTTATTCACTTAAGCTTCAAATAACAGAGGAAGAAATGGATTAAAGATGCATGTCTCTAACTTTGGGAATTTCATTTTGCCTTTTATGGGGCAATTACTTAGAAGTACATTTTGTGCTACAGCCCTTCCTATCTGATAGAAAAGGATCAAGTATGCATTAGGTTCTTGCTTAACTGATAAAGAATTGGTATTGCTTTATGTAAAATCTTCATTCTTTTAACATGATTTGTTCATGATGAGCTTATGCATATTGTTTTTCCATAACACCTTTCTGAACAATGTGAATGCTTTCTATCAATGAGTGTTTAATATGGAAATTGGAAAAAAATAATAATAATAAATAAATAAATTCTCTGGACGCTTTACATTCAGTGTATAGAGGATTCAGACATTTCTTTTTCTTTCTAATCTTTGGTACTTTTTTGTCTACGTTTGACAAATCAATACCTGTAGTCCTCACTTATATTCTCAANTTTTTTTTGGGATGTGTAACTGTGGTTTTATTACATGCTCTTGACTGTGGTGTGCAACACTCGATATTTCGTACTCCCTTTCATGTGTTCAGGTTGTTCTTAGTTTTGTTTTGATGTATCTCTGAAGGATTTTCCTTTTTAAAATTTATTTGAATTCTAAAATGAATAGTCCAAACACAATACCAATTTAAAATGGGGAATGGCAGCCGAATAAATCCTTCCATTCCATCCATTGTCGTCTTGGTAAAATTGGACGCAATCACCGTACAAAAGGTTGATACCGCCTGCTATGGGTCCCCTTATATGTTACTACTGATATGCTGCCAACTCATTTGTCCATATCTGTTTTTAAGGCCTGTAGAAACTAGCAAGAGTTGTGAAGAGATCTGCTGGCACTTCCATATAAAACCGAGAGTGTTCTCAAATTAGTGATTTGCATTAACCGTTTGATTAATGAGCTTATCCTGTTTCCCTTATGTTTTGTATTTCCCATCTCTTGTGACACTAGTAGTTTTTCTAAAAACCATTTTGCTATGTTGATGGCCATGATGCGAGGTAAGGCTAAATTCCAAGTGTTTGGCAAAAGCCTTCTAAGAATTTAATTTAATTTTTTTTTTGTAATAATTACTCGCGAAGTTGAATTTCATATTTGTCTAGGGTTGTTTATGGATTTTGCTATGTTGAGGGCCATGATGCGAGGTAAGGCTAAATTCCAAGTGTTTGGCAAAAGCCTTCTAGGAATTTAATTTAAATTTTTTTTTAGTAATTACTCGCGAAGTTGAATTTCATATTTGTCTAGGGTTGTTTATGGATTTTGTAATTGTTGAACTTGAAATATATGCAAGAAATCATAATTTCAGAAAGTAGGAAACAAGTGTGTTAATATGGAAAGAAAAAAAAAACTACTTGTTATATCCCTATTTGAATAAACAATACACAGTAAAGTCTGACCAATCTGAAATGGCACAGCTGCACTTTACATGTCAAATCCTTCTTCAAGCCTTCATTTCCAGTAACAGATTAACCATGGAAAGAGAGACAGAGCTCAAAATAAAGAAAAATGAAAACTGAACTCCTGTATTTATATACTGTAAACTATTTTAGCCCTAAAAGAAATGAGAGAGGAAAATAGTTCGCAAGGAAAGAACAAACCTACCTAATCATATGGGAAAAGAATGAAAGCTTGTTGTTCAAATAAAAGAAAAGAAAACCTTGGCTGACTTACCCACTATAGGAAGAAGCGTTGGTCAAGAGAAAAGAAGAGGGAAAAGAGTGAAATTTGAAAATGAAAGAGAGTTTAATGTGGGAGAGAAAAAGAGAGCAGAAAACTTAAGTTGCCAAGGGATTGTTGTTTCATCTCTCTTGACCATATAAAACACACTTCGAAAGCAATCTTAGTGGACCTAGGGCAAGTATGTATTAGTTTCAAATTAAATAAAAGTTGACATATGAAAATATGATACCATGTGACTTATTAACAAAGTATTAAAAGGAGTGCATCCATTCCCTGTCACATGCCTCGTATTATAATGTGAAGGCCTTCTTATACATTAACCAGCCTGATTGCCCTGAGACACTCTCTGTTAACCTCATTCTGAGGCTCTTCCGAAAGTTGCCTTTGGAAAGATCAGACATTAGAGATATCTTTCAGATAGAATGCATGTTTTATTAGATTTTTCTGCTCTTCAGTACAAGTCATTTTGTTATTTCTAGTGAAGGAAAAGTGAAAAGAGTGATAAATTAAAAGAGAGAAGAAGTTTGATTTGGAGAGGAGCAGAAAACTTTGGTTGACAAGGAATTGTTGTTTCATGCCTCTTGACTAAATAAATATAATTTATGAAAGTAAACATAGTGGCCCCAGGGTACGTATTTATTAGTTTCAACATGAAAAAAAGTTGACATTTTAAAATACGATATCTTTCCATCAGTAAAGTGTTAAAAGGAGTGTCTCCTGTGTTTGATGTATATTTCGTATTTGTTAACAAGGGTTGGTTGAAAAAGGGGAGAGACAAAGGTGAAATCCTTCCCCTCCTCTTCTTTCATTATATAGAAAAACAAGATTACACACACATATGGAAACTCGGTAATTATGGAAATACAATAAACTCTAGTTATATTATTGCCTAATTTACGTGAATTACTTCCTTAACACTCCACCTGAAGTTGGAG